AAGGGAGTGGGAACCCAGATTGTATCTCGACTATCCACTATTTTTTTGTAAACCTTTGTGTGTTCGGCTTCCACTGATAGAAAATTGATAATAATAAAATACACTTAGATAAAAGAAAATTAGGTAACGGAAACTAAAAGTAATCCTACATGTACACGCTATAGCTTATAGGGTGGAAATTGGGGTGGGTGTGGTTACCCGCCCCACATTTTGCGGGCAACCACATCCACAAATACAAAATTATGCTACCCACAACCCGCCCCGCAGTGGGTAGTGGTTAACCACTACCCGCTGCGGGTTGGTGCGGGTTGGTTGTGGATACCCACAAATTTCACATTAAATATAATAATATTGTAATTAAATAGTGATGTTGTATTTCTTCTCACACAAAAGCAAAAACATACATAAAAGAAAGTTAATAAAGTGTAAAATAAATTATAAATCTCGAATACAATAGGTTAGTTAGTGTAAATTCAGAAGTGATGGATTTGGAAAGAGATTTGAAATAACGGAGAGGCGGAGTGATATGTTACTAGACTAACATCGTTGCATGTCACGACTCCTTCGATGACAACAACAACAAAACACAAAAGTGGCTCGATAAGTGGAGGCGCCCGCTTTTAATGAATCGATTATTCTCCTCTCTCGATTATAGTCTTGTGTTGTTGGTAGTTGGTTGCATGTTGTGTTGTTTGTGAATTCGTGGAGAAATGGAGATGAGTTTGGGTATCTAACTAACCTTTATCGATTATTCCCCTCTTTTAACGAATCGATTAATTTATCTGACTATATCTATGGACTTGGTTTTGTTATAAAATAAACATATTGCACAGGGACAATGCTTATTAATAAAAGTATCTCACATGAACATTGTGTATTGACTTGGTTTTGTTTTATAGAATAAGTGCATTTTTTATTTTGGTAGCTACTTTAATTCATAGTCTTCCAAGTTTCACAAACTAATATAACTAATGTGGTTAATGTGTGTTACAAAGTATTTTGAAGAAATAAATATAACTAATGTGGTTAATGTGAATTTTGTGGTAAACCGATGTGGGTAGTGGTTATTGGTTAACCAACAATATTTTGCTACCCACACCCAACTCACTATCCACAAATTGTGGGTATGGGTATCCACAAAGTGTGCGGTTTGGTACGGTTTGCAGGTTACTCGCAACCCGCAAACCAAACTTCCACCCCTAATAGCTTATAGCCTCCTACTTTTTGGGTTTCACCTTTTTCTCATTCTTTTTCTGTATTTCTTGCTTTTTGGAGTGTACCGGTTTATGACCGATTTTCAATACCGACTAATCAACGGTTATTCGATAAATCGTGAACCTCTCATTAATTCGGATCGATGTCCGGTTCGATTTTGACAACACTGAAAATAAGACATATTTTTATTTAGACGATTACGATTTTTATTTATACTGTTTCCAAAATTTATTCGGCCAACCGGCGAGACCAAATCTAGTTCTTTAACAATGTATATGTAGCAGCAAAATTTGAGCCCAAAATGAAAAGAGAAGTTTGCCATCTCCCACCGGACGAATCCTGTTAATTTTTGTCCCTAATTCAGCATAGATATTATTACGGGGCAAAATCACAGCCATTTTCAGGCTAATCAAACTGGAAAAATCAAATCAGAGCACCAAACATGCACTCAATTAAAGTAAGCATTGAAAGGACCAAGTTTGTAGACCTTTGGAAGTCGCCAATATTGGAAATCATCACAAGGGATTTTTGGACCATCATCAAGTTCATCAGCCGGTTCCTGTCAGCCAAAGAAGAATATATATAACAGGCAAAAGGGAACAATTGATGCAAAAGTGACAAACCTAAGAAAATCCCTAAACATGGCAAGATTCCTCTCAACATCACAACGCAGACAAATCATCACAGAGCTAGAGAGAGAGAGGCATCTAAACTGCTCAGAAAGCAACCAAAAGAGAAAAGACAAGAGGGAGGTGGGAAGGAAGGAACCCATTTTCAGTGGCTTTGGGGTAGTGAAGAATAACTCCCTCCAAAATTCTTGACTTGAGAATATGACTTCTTGGCTTAAGCTTGAGTTAAGATTCCAACATTCCGATTCCCCTCAGAATCCCATCTCACGGCTGGCCTTCCTCCTCTGCCCTCTTATTTGTTTGTTGTCAACACAGAATACATTCCGTGGTCATTTCTCTCAGTTTGCATGCCTGTGGAGCTCGAAGAAACACGAGTGGCCAATGAGCTTCTGACGTGTGCAATCTCACCGTGCAATTGGCTGGTAGCTACATTTGCATTGATTCGAACAAGTGATCTTTTTATATGCATGCATGTTTCTCTTTCCAAGAGCTTCTCCCTGCCCTGAAAAGAAAAGGGAATATATGCATTTCAGTAGTATGAGAATCCATAAAAGGAAATGTAAGTACAAGGAAGAAATATAAGTTTCCCCACCCCACTTCTCCCTCTTTTATCCAAAGTGGGAGAATATATAAATCATCCAGAGAAGAAGGGAAGAAGGCAATACAGTTGCAGTCAGATAACAGAAAAAGTGAAAGGGGTAAGAAGTATTCTCTAGTACTACATAAGAAAACAAAGAAAAGAGGGAGATAGAGAGAATTGAGCTTGCTTTTCATGCTCATCAAGGGAGGGGGGTTTTGGCAACATTATTGTAAAGACAAGCACCATCACTTTTACTATTATAGGCAAAAGATCAAGTGACTCTGTTTTGAGACATGAAACGAAAGTTTAAAACTTGAAATACACACCATGTTTATACTATTTACAGTTAAGGCACAACTGATTCAGAGAATTTCTAATGATTGGATTACCCCTATTGTATGGAAACCGTATTTATCATGGTATACTGTAAAAGTTCAGGTCCTGCAGCGTAGCATAAATCATCATCAATCAAACTAACGTGATTCCATTCATTCACTCACAATGGAAAAGAAAGGTCAATGCCAACTTTCACTTAACTTATCATGGCTATGCATGCATGAAAACACTTTCTGCCAATCTCAGCAGAATGCAAGACTCGTTTATGGTGATGCCATGTCATAGACAAAAAAAAAATTAATAATAATAATAGTTCTATGACTTGGAGCGTACGCTATCATTCCCCTTATGTGATTGATTCCTATCCACATGCTAGTACACTACTGAAGAACCTCTTCTTTTATGCTTTACCTGAACCCTTTTCCTGGATTCTGCCGAACTGTATAAAACACAATAATATACATATACCCACACATACAAGTATATATTAAAATATCCTGACAACCCAGCATCAAGTGATCTTCATATTTAAGGGCCAATAGGAACTAATGCCGAAACCCATTGACAGGACTGGCAACTTTGATGTGCATACCTGAGCTTAACTGAGATCTTGCATTACAAGTGCAGTTTGGGAACAGAGATCATCCAATCCTAGCATTCGTGTCGACATATCCAACTTGTGATTCTTAATCGACAACTTGAATTTTATATTAATTTACAAATGATATGCATGTGAGCATGCTTGCACTGCTCTGAGCTGACAGATTTAATATTCTACATCAGTTAATGAATGCATTTATTCTGCATTAGCTGTTGATAATGGAGAAGCTATTCTGTTTTATAAAATAGGTATAGTATTAATTCCCGATGATCACCACAAAGAACTAATCCTTTTGCAATATGATATAACAGCACAAGTATAAAGAACATGCAGTTGCAATATAAGTACACCTTTAAAACTTCAAGGAAACAGTTCCAAAACATAAGCATGCAGATTATTCTAACATCTCAAGACAAGTTAAACCATTTACACACGAACAACAGTTATACCTCTACTCTGCAAGCAAACTGAAGAGAAGGATAACACAAGGGAACAACAAAGACAAATATAAATGCATATGTAGTCTTGCATGAAATCAGTCAAAAGGTTATTAAGTGCACATGTATCACATTTTTATATAAGATGATGCCAATCAAGCTTCATGAAGAACATCGAGAAGAAAGAGAAACAGCAGAGCATTATGTTAAGTTTGTAGATTCATACAAGATAGAGTTTGGTAACTGAGTGGCATTAGTTCTCCGTGGCAGACTCGTCTTGTCCTTTGTCAAGTGAAAGTATCCAAGCAAGTACAACCTTCTTTTTTCTCTTTCATTGAGGTCCCAGGGAGAATTCGGCCGGTACAGGGCCAGCTGTCTTCTGCCAGTTGAAGAATGGAAAGGGTTTGCACCCTCTTATATTTTATGCTGTATGAGACTGAATAAGTACCAAACTTACCGAAGGGGACAGAAAAGAATGTATTCTTGTTCCATTCCTTGCCTTCAGACAATGTTGAAGGAGAAGCATCTTCACCCCCATTTCCCATTTCTTTTGAGATTTTCCCATTTCTTTTGCAGTTTTCCCGTTTCTTCTCTCGGTTGTATCTAATACCGAAGTCTTAAGGTGCTCTAGTCAATAGAATCCCCTTCTATATTCTCTAAATATGACCACTTAAACAACGTATGCTGTCTCCATCCACTACCTTGGTTATAGATTTGAAGGCATTAGTACCCCTATCATATAGAGTGTAGATCATCACTAATTTAATATTGCATTGACAACTGAAACTATAACTTCAAGACCAGGGTGAGGGACAGAGATATCTCAAATCTGAGAATCTTCCATAAGGACGGAAAGGGATGAAAGAAGGGCTCGAGATAGCAGAGATAATTGATTCCCCTCTTCTAGGTCAGAAAAATTCCTCTCACATCCAGGAATAAGATTCTTGCTTTTTGCCCAATGGACAAATACGAATGCACACAACTAAAGAAAAGCTTGGTGGATCAATTCCCAGTATCCAATTCAAGGCGTGAAGGAGTTTCCCAGAGTTAATGTGAGGAGGAATTCTCTTACAATGGAAAGTAGAGTTTAGAGTAAAGGCCCTCCCTCATTTAACAAAAAAGGAAGGACAATATCTCTTTTCAACTCACTGTGAATATAAGATTGGGTAGGGCATTATGTTGGCTTTATCAAAGATTCTATGCGTCTATAGCTTCCCATTCTCTTCCTCCATCCCATCTCTTTATAAGGACATAGTAGAGCAGACCTTTGGTCAGTATGCATTGGGCATGGGATAAAGAGAACAAGGAAGAGCAAACAGAACAATCACATATTTGGGGGGGAAAACACCAGGCAGTTGGGTTGTCCCAGAAGAGTGTTTCTTAAACAAGTTCAACTTCTTAGGCTGTAACAGATTGGATCAACTGTGAAAAGACAAGGCATTAGGTAAAGAAGACATTTTTCCTGATTGCAATATCAAGTGTAAGTTCTCCTCCCTACATCAAAATTCAGTTTTCTTGGGGGATAGATATGTACCATCATCAGCAAGGCAAGAGCATGCACCCTTCTTCAAGAATACCAATCCCATCAGAGAGGCATTTGTTCCTGCAAGGTGGGAATGGCCCAGGAGACTCAGGGCTTGTCCTTTCAACAGATGCAAAGCCAAGACTTAAATGGACACCAGACCTGCATGAACGTTTCGTGGAAGCAGTCAACCAGCTAGGAGGAGCAGACAGTAAGTATTGACCAAAACGTATTTCAATCCAATCCAATTTCTGAAAGAAATGTGAATTTATGTTCAATGATAGCCATTTTCTTGAATTGCTTACTCTGCAGAGGCTACTCCAAAAACGGTTATGAAACTTATGGGAATTCCTGGGCTCACACTATACCACCTAAAGAGCCACTTACAGGTAACTACTTATATGATGCTCAGTAACACTAGTTGTTCTTCTCTTAGAACTAATGTTTGAGTAGATTATACCATCCAGCAAATTACAATGCAAAACGAATTTTCTTCTATTGTAACAGGATGCAATAACTGTTAGTGCCTTCCGTACCTCACTATTCTAGTTAAAGTTCCTTCACTTACAAGTATTAAAAAATAAAGATTATTAAATCAGAATCTGAAAGAGGAGAGTATCTGATGTGCAGTAAAGAGTCCAATTAGCAAAAAGCAACAAAGTAGTACCCTCTACTCTTTCTACTTGTATTAGAGAATGATAAGCCAAAAATATAACTGTCTTATTTGTGGCATATGTGTAACTCGTATTCCACATTTAATGAAACAGAAGTACAGGCTCAGCAAAAATCTTCATGGACAGGCTAATAGTGGAAGCAACAAGATGGGTAAGATGCCAATCATAGCATTCTGCCAACATTTCCAACTCATTTACGGTTCTGAAGTACTCCTTCCAATCATCAAATAATTTGACAGCAAAGGGTTCTGAAGTAAAATGATTTGACGCAGGTCCTCTTGCGGTTTCTATAGAGAGAGTACCTGAACCAACTCAACCTCATTCGAGTAACTCGAGTATTGCACCCCAAGCAAACAAGTATGACTCTGTGTACCACCATCATGAGGTTTCTTTTCACTTTTCTGTCAAAACTAAAATGACTTCTTACTTCAGAAGCTTACACATCGGCGAAGCACTACAGATGCAAATTGAAGTTCAGAGAAGGTTGCATGACCAGCTTGAGGTAAGCCAATACTTACAATGCGAAAGTCATTTCATATTCATAATAAACATAAGGATTTATAGTCAAACTACTTTCATCTAAAACATGCAATTGGACCAGGTACAGAGACATTTACAGCTTCGTATAGAGGCACAAGGAAAATACCTACAATCAGTGCTTGAGAAAGCACAGGAAACCCTCGGGAAGCAGAACTTAGGTGCAGTAGGACTTGAGGCGGCCAAAGTTCAACTCTCAGAACTCGTCTCGAGAGTATCTACTCAGTGTCTCAGTTCTTCATTTTCAGAGCTGAAAGAACTGCAGGGTCTGTGCCCCCAGCACACACAAACAAACCAGCCAAATGATTGTTCGATTGACAGCTGTCTCACCTCTTGTGAAGGATCCCAAAAGGAACAAGAGATGCACAACATAGGGATGGGATTGAGGCCCTACATCAGTAGTAATCTCTTGGAGGCAAAAGAACTTCCTGAAGGGAAAATGCTACAGCAGTCTGACATCAGGTGGAGAGAAGACATGAAAGAAAATAATAATATTTTTCTATCATCTCTTGGCAAAACTGCCGAAAGGAGAGTTTTCCCTACTGACAGAAGCGCTAGTGATTTATCCATGAGTGTGGGACTCCATGCAGGAGGGAATGCAAGTAATATGTTTTCTGAAGGAAGATACAAAGGAAGGACTGAGACTGACATATTCCCTGACCAAACTAACAAGCAGTCAGATTCAGTCATCCCAGAGAAGGAAAAATTGTCACAAGGATATCCATTGCCTTACTTCGGTACAAAGCTGGACCTGAACTCCCACGATGAGATTGATGCTACTTCAGGCTGCAAACAGCTTGACTTGAATGGCTTTAGTTGGAATTGATGAAACCTGCTGTGGAAGGAATGACTAGTGATTTTTGTCAGGAGATGAGCCAGCGTCCATCGAGCATGACCATGGCAGACAGCCTATTACCAAGATCACTTGCTCTTACGAGCCAAGCACTCGTGGAAGAATGAATTCAATCTAAAAGTGAGTAGGTTACAGTAAGAGATGTACGTTTTGTACCTTAAGCATCAACAGAGTCTATGTTCAAAAGGCTATATCATTAAAGCATCAACCTGAGTAAAGTACAACAATCCTACTTCCACATCCAGACTTCCCACTATTATTGCTAAGCAGTACGTGTAAGGGATCTTGCAAAGATAACACTAGAACCCCATAGCTTGACATATCAAACTACTCCATGGCATTGCTGATCTATTCCCGCAACCCATATTTCCCCACAACACCAACCATTCATCGGAGTTTTGAACAAATGGTTCTTCTCTAGTTCTACACATAGCCACCATTGGCACGGATTACCTGTCCATTGATCCATTCACTGGAATCAGTAGCCAGAAACCCGACAACTGTAGCAATATCCTTTGGTTCACCAATTCGGCCTAACGGGCTCTCATCAATGTTCCTCTGTATCATCTCCTCGGACTTCCCAGCATAATACATCTCCGTGGCAACCGGACCAGGAGCCACGCAGTTGGCAGTAATCCCAGTTCCCTTGAGCTCCTTCGCCAGAATCTTTACCATCGCCTCCACAGCTGCCTTTGAAGCTACATAGGCTCCAAACCCTGGTTTCAAACCACCCACCATCGACGATGATAGCAGGATTATCCTCCCTCCGCCGCCTTGTTTCACTCGATTCGCCGCCTCCTTGCAGCAAAGGAACGCCCCTCTAGTATTCACACTGGAAAAAATGGAGACACATTTTTACATGAAAATGACAAAATCTCTCCCCAAAAGCAAAGTTCAACAAAAATGAATTCGGGTCTTGCGTTTTCCTCGAAAATTACCCAAATGTATGATCGAAATCTTCCACGGAAGTGTGAGCGATGGAAGGGTATTTGGAATCCAGCACGCCAGCGCAATTTACCAGGATATGGACCTGCGAGCCACCGAAGGCCCTCTCCGCCTCGTCGAAGAGGGTCTTCACCTGGGCTGGGTCGGAGACGTTAGCCTGGACGGTGATTGCTCGCGGTGGAGCTGACGAAGAAGAATTGAGCTCGGCGGCGACGAGGTCGGCTTGTTCCTTGTTGGAGGTGTAGTTGATGACGAGTCGTGCGCCGAGTAAGCCCAAGTGGAGAGCTATGGCTTTCCCGATACCTCGAGAAGAGCCGGTCACTATCGCTACCCGGTCCTGAAGTGGCAGAGGCGTGGAGGGAGTGGCTGTTGCCATGGCCGGACTCCGGAGGGTGAATAATACAGAATAAACGGTTCGGGCTGCGGCTGTCGGTTATTGTTAACTAGTATCAATACCCACGGCTACGCCGCGGGAGATATAGTTATGTCCGCATGAAGTATTAAGCAATAGCATTTCAAGCCATGTACGTAGAACTTGCAATAGTTACAGAATTATATAAGCAAACACATATAGTATGTATCATTAAAAAATTTGAACATTTTAATAAGCTAAGACACATTTAAACTCTTAATCATAATGATGTCTTACAAAACGTAAGTCAAAGAACATTGAACTACAACAAATTGTTCTCTTTAAAACCCATGTAAATCCAATTTAGTAAGCTGGTTGAATACAATGTTCAGTATACTCGTGCCAAAGCTAAAAAGTGCTTCCTGCAATAGTATGATCTGTAATGAAAACTAAAACCCATCCTATAACATTAGATGTCTCTACCAACGTGATCCCCAACAGTATATTTCCATTGACTATGAATCTATCTAAAATGACACAATACGGTTCACAATATAAGCTTTTCATCAAATCGAACTTCCATTTCCACCACCTCATCTGTCTGGCAGCTAAAAAGGTTTTACATGTTGAACAGGATTGGGTTCTTGAATGGAGTTGTTCTCCAATTGCAATTCCCTAGTTTCTTTGAATATCCGCTATATGCCACCATCTTGTTCTGGTGGCTTTTTGTAATCTCTTTGACCCTCTCCATGTAGGAGAGTGTAGAGGGTTGCTTGTTTTTGCTTCTCGTGATCCCTACAAAGCATGGTCAACCAATAATGCTGGATTTTTACAATCTGTCATTAGTTCCTTCTTAATTGAGCAAGTTAGACGACATTTTAGGTACAAAGTCATTTGAAATTTTGAGGACTCCCACCACCCCTATTAAACAGGTAGAGAGTAGAGAGTTCAGTCTTTAAGTTCAAACTCTAGTGTAAACAGCTATAAAAAGGGAAAGAAAACCTGAGGAGGGAGCATAAAAGAGGCTCATAGCTTGTGAGTCAAATCAAAATTCACATCAATCTTGACTAACTGGCATCATCACCGCAAAAACTATTACCTGTAACCCCGGAAGAGAACGTGACGTTTTCAAATGAGAAACCATTAGGTGTAACCTCAATAACATGCCCTTTTCATACAAAACTCGAAACAAATTTTCATGGAAGATGCATAAAGATCTTCATAACTGAATTTAAATTCGTGAATTGGAGTAAATAAGAGGAATTTTATTGGATGGGAGGCCGAAAGAATGACCTTTGCCTACATGGAGGCTCTTCTGAGCTCTCATACTGACATGAATTGCAGATGGGATTGCCTAACATTATTTGAGGGTGAAGGAGAGAAGCAGAATAAGACTGTGTCTTCGTAACAGCAAGCCATCCAGAGCTGTCGCCAACCTTGCTGATGAACTTGAGACCCCAGTGACAAAAAAAAAAGTAAACAGAGAAGCAGAATAAGACTGTACAGTGTTTCTTGCATTGTGAAAGATACTAAACAGAAGAATGAAAGAGCAGGAAGAAAACACATATATGCTTCTTTGATAAACCGTAGATGAAAGCTTTGTGAAAGTATAGGACAACTAACATGTTTTGCCTTCAGCTCTTCATTAAAGGTTACAGTTCGCTTGAGTTTCAGCAGGAGTTCAGATTCTAGTCTCATTTCACAAAGCCTGTTCTTCAACGCAAGATACTTCTGTTCATTCTTAGCTGCAGAAACATGCTCCTTGTCAAAAATCATCATGTGCTATTAACGAATCAACTTTAGAAAGAAATGTTCCGAATTGCTACCCTGAAATTCTAACTTGTGACTCAGAAAGCATAGTTGCATAAGGAATGCAGGAACAGGGCAGACCTGTTATCATCAGAATCTGGAAACAGGGTTTTGGCATCAAAGGAAAGTTTTTGACGCTGATCCCAGCAACTTTGCTTCTTTAATCATGTGAGAGAACTTCGAACCTGCACTTCTTCAAAGTGAGCATCCATTCTGTGAGCCATTCTCATCTTGAGTAGCCTGCAGTATCACAATTAGCATTTCTCAAAGCCTGAAACCAAATGAATTCACCGGCAAGGCTAGAGCGCAACAATTTTAATCACGCCAGACTCATGTGAGCGAACTCTCGTTTAAACCATAGGATTCAGTTGATGCAAATAGAGTAGCCTTTCTATGCAAAGATAAAACATAATAATCATCCTGAAAGTAAGTGAAAGTCCATATAAATCTGGATCACAAACCCAGACAACTAAGGCCTCAGCATCCACAATCACCATGAGCATACTTGCACATTTCTCTTCTCATCTGGCACCTCTCTCTTCCTGTAACCTTCCCTCTTTTTCATTTGGAGACCTAGTTGCTGGTACCTGCATTAGCTTGATAAAAGAAGCCACATAACTCAGCTTGAGGGTGCAAAGGCTAAGATAACAACAACGTCAACACCAATTGAATAAGTTAAGGGAGTATAACAGTTTAACAAATTGTATGTTCTTGCGATCAAATAATAGATAGAGCCACTTATGTCACCTGAACATCAAGGAATTGTTTGTTGTTTTCAACCACATAAGTCCACTGATCCCACTGATGTAAGTAGCTCTGCAAAAACCTACGATGAAGAAATTATATGTAAATCAACAATTCAAAGAAACAACGGAGAATTCATACAATGTTCTTGCAGAAGTTTCTAAATGTAGAGGCAAAGTGGAACCAACCTGCCACAAACCTTTTCTATGCTTCCATAACTGAAACCAAGAGCATGGCGGTCCTGGCCTCTCTTTCCTCTACTCCATCATATACTGTGTCATTGCCTCCAAAACAGCACCTGTCACCCCAACCTAAGATCTGAATGTATCCAGGTAAGGAAACCATTGCTTCTTGTTGTCGGCTCTCCATCTTCATGAGGAAAGAAATGTAATTTAGGTTGGTGAGCAAATCAACACTAACATTGCAATCTGGATACAACAATATGGCAAAGAATAAGACAAAGCATCCAGCAATTAGAAGTCAAGAAAGTAACAAAAGCTTGGAACTGTTCTCTCAACTTGGACAATATTTTTAGTACACCCAGGGTAGAGTTGAACTTACCTGGTTAGTTGTTCAGAAGCTATTTCATTCTTTAGAAGGTCTATACCTGCAATCCCATAATTTGTATATGAAGTTGAGCATTTCACTGAATCCTCGCACTTACCTACTGCATAAAAAAATAGGAATTTTCTTACATTCCATCCAAATATAAGAGTTACAACTTTCAAGCATCAAATACCATGATACAGGCCAAACAAAAGCAAATAGGAGATCATGAGCTACCAAGGAAAATGCTTCCAAGTAATACCTTGGTTTCTAGAAAAGAGATCAAACATGCCCCATTCCTCCACCATAATTCGTCATACTTTTCCTTGAGCTGTGTAAACCAACCGTTCATCGTTGCAATCTCAACTTCAAAGCATCTGATTTTGCACAAAGGAACACCAACGAATGAACATCGGATCTGTCAAGCTATAAAGCAGTCCTTGGAGATGAGAGGAAAGAAGATGAGCAAGAGTATTGAGAACGTAAAAGGAACCAAGTACGAAACAGAGGAAACCAAAAGCATACCTGGGATTTGGAGCTCCTCGTTTGATTGCTTCATATTGGCCCTGGTGAAGGCAAAATCAAGAGCTAGTTTTTGCCATCACCGTAGGCCGTAGTGGACATGAAGGTTGGGAATGACCAGTGGAGGAAGGAATCGACAGGTTCGTGATGCAAAACCGATCTCCGGGTGAGGGGTTCGCTCCTCGCTCGGCCGTCCGAAGATGGAATGCGGGAGGTGGTGGGAGAGGTGGGAGAGGTGGCCAAGGATCTTGGCCTGCTGAAGTGGGTTGCAGAGGTAGTACAGAGACGGAGTTCCCAATCGAGCTGAGAAGGGGAAGGGCAGTAAGAAGCATGGGAGCTGCCATGACTGAAAGGGCCCTTTCCAACGGTGGCGTGTAGCAGCAGCCATGAATTCGTAGCACGGCACGCTAATGGCAAACAAACCGGTGAAAGGACGGCAGGACACAATAGAGAGGTCAGCTCAGCTGCTGCGAGTACGAATGGCAATTGGCAAGGGAAGGAATGGCTGTCTGCTGGACTGAGGGGAAGGTCATTATGTCAGGTCCCACGACCGCTGGGAAGGTTTGATTTGGGAAGCTGCTGGCCGAAACCTTCCACGAATCGGCACTAAAAGACAGGAATTGAAACAGTAATAAAAAAGATAGGGGAAAAAAGCGTACCCAGCTTTTATATACTAAAAGAATTGATTGGGCTGCCACTGTATGATACATATTCGGTCTAGCCGTATAGGTATTTAAAATACCAAAATCACACCAACTTCCAAAAATAATATCGGTTGGATTTTTTGCCGACAAAATCAATTCAGATTTAATTAAAAACGTGTTGTTTTGCCATCCATATCCACCATTTGCCAAAGGTCTAGTTGTATCCTTGAAAGACCTTGCCTTTAACTATTTCCCAGCAAAATACCAGGTAAATGATGCCATAAACAATTAAACATTCAGCGTGACATTCCATTCTTTGTCTAACCATGCTTGTAAGTTCATCCTTTACTGGGTTGAGAATCTGCCAGGAATAAATAGCTGCAGGATGCAATAAGAATCTATACTTGTGTACTTCCCACACATAATCAGATGTAAGGGAATTGCTTTGGTCAGTCAAAAATCCAACAGCAGCTTTCATGTTCACAATCATAATGGTGTACACTGTCATTTTACAAACATCAGTTCCTTAATAGCATAAATAACAGAGGAAACAATGATTTTCATTACAACTAAATTGGATTCCCTGCTGCTATTCCAGTGAAAAGAAATGTGCAACCGAATTTTTGAGTTTGTGAAGGCAACTGATCTCAACATACAACTTCGAAACATCAGTGGATACATATGTAATCAATATATCAGCTTCAGCTCATTACTAATCACCCAACCTAAGGTATTACTGCCATCAAAATTCACGGTTTGCGGGGTTGCATCACAGTTGGGATACCATCAGAACTTCCAAAGCTTCAAAGGACATATTAAATGGACAACACAAGTAGCACAGAAGAATCAACATCCTGAAATCTTCAACAAAAAACATAACAGATAGGGTTGCCCTGACCTTCCAAAACATGCTCACAAGATGGCGATGCAGATAATTATGGACAGAAAATTATGGTGTTATGTAAGAATCTTTCATTTCTACTAACAATCACAGGCTGTAGGCATCATAATCGCTTAAATTTAGCACGCATCACTCATACATGTTACGGAGAACTGTAATACTTGCCATGTCTACCAAACATTTGAGTAGGACAGCTTCTAGGACTCCTCTCAAGTATTCACCAAATTTCACTACAAAATTCAACAAGAACTTTTAATAAGCGGAAGGCATATGGGTTTCATAAGCTTGCAACAGAGTCGAAGGCCCTCCAAAAAAAGGGCATGTACAACCGCCAGAAAACACAAATTCTATAATGCCTCCAAATCGCATTACACTGGCATAACTTCCAGACCAAGGTTAGAGCAGAAGGGCAACTGGAATGACTAGAGACAGTTTCAATTGTGGGGGCAACGGGACACAACTTCCGGACCAAGTTCCTTTCTCAAACATGGCCACCAATCCATGTATTTTACTTTGTTACTATTAGTCATTCCAAAATTCCCTTCTAGGACTCCTGTAATTTTCACATTATAGAATACAACAGAAGGGCAACTGGAGTGGATTAATTACTCCCAAAGTTTTCATCCAGGACTTTAAACAGGGCATCTAATACCAACATGGCTACAGATTTGTGGATCACTAGATTGCAATGGGGACATAAGGTGACCACAGAGTGAATGAAACATTGCAGACTTCAATGAAGCAACTCAATAGGTGTAAATATATGGCGCAACCAAATGGAAACGAAAATAATTAGACAAGCATAATCAGGAATTAACCATAACAACACTAGTATTAGTCTACTTTAGCAAAAGCTTCTCATTCACATATTACTGTAGCAAGTGAATCATCAAAGGCATGGCTCTAAGATTTTCCATCCGGCATGAGAAATTCAAGGCAACAGAGAAGGGACCTTAAGAATTATACCAGAGAATTATACCTTGACAAACCTTCTCTGTTATCCACTGCTTTACCAAGTCTCATAAGCTTGACACATGTCAATAAGCATTCAGGATATTACATTTAAACCAAACAACAAAATCTGAAGGAGAGTGTATAGGGTGTGAATAAAACAGAAAGAATAAGCATACAAAATCAATAATTTATCACCAGAGCGGGAAACAACAGGAGAATTGGTACTTCCGTTGATCATCACATCCCTAGTGGGGCTCCTATGGTTCTACCGACACTAAGCCTACTACTAGAACGATGCAAAAGAATAAAGCAAGTGGCATGTTACCTGCTAAAGAGATGCAAAATTGTAGAACCAAATTCCATAAACTTCTTGGGAATCATTTCGATACAAGAGATCTGGAACCTGAATCTCAAACTCAAAATCCCCCAAGAGATTCTCCGCCAAGTTATCTGCACTAAAGAACAAAAATGAGCATCCCATAATCCATTGTCGACATACTTATGAAAAAACAGAAAGCTTCCCAAAAAAGTAACAAACTGTCACGTCCAGCAATCTGCAATCCCTTAGTTGAAATTGATATCAATGTATCAATCCATTGATATAGTGCAATTGGCATGCAACATTGCATTAGACTAAATAGTTCTTCATCGCATAACCACCCAATCACCCTGTTAAGTAATCCTTTACCACACTAAACATCATCTCCTACCGAGCTATCTACACAATGGGGGAATAAAGATAGCATGAGCGATGATAAAACTAACCTGTATTCCGCCGATTCATCATAGTAAGCTGAAACCGCAGCTGTACATTTCTGCAAGCTAGAACCACCACCAAACCAATAAAGAAACTATGGTAATGGAGAGGAAATTCATTAACATACTGATCATAAGCATGCATCAGCAAGAAAAGAGCAATCCGTCATTCCAATTCTGCTTAGCATGTACCAATATCAACAGCAAATTATCTACAACGGACTCGCCTCTTCACAACGAACAGGGACCCTTCAACATCCTTGTGACTCTGCACACACATCCATCCCCCAGAACCATTGAAACAAGTCATGTAAAGCGAGCAACGAGGAGGAAACAACGGAACAAGAAAGACGGTGGGGGCGCGAGAAGGAACGAGCATTCAAGAGATAACTACAATAAATTTTATAAGGCATTTTTTCAAAAGGGTTTGGAGAAAGAATTGGTTTGCATTCTGTGTGGGCTTAGAACATGTAATTATATCATGCATAGGCAGAATCGAACATGCTCACAATAAACTGTAAAGTTGGCCTCAAACCTTCATTGTTCCGAGCTCATAAAGTACTATAATGGAACGCAGGAGGCAGATCTGCTTGCTCTCTTCATCCGGATTTGAGATTATTGTACAGTATGCATCATGGAAGCGATTCAGGTCTGAAGTAAACTTAAACCATTTGACCACAACCGCCACTAAATAGTAGATGCTGACTCATCAAGTGTGCGACCCACATGAGATCCATCTCTTCAACTCATGGCTTATCAACTTGCTCAAGTGAAACAAGAGCAAACTGGCAAGCACCTTCATTAAAATTATATTGCTCAAATATTTGCATGCCCACTGGTATTAGTGTAGCTTCCACACAGCAGATGATACAGAATCATCTAAGGAAAAAGGGAAAAAGAATCAGTTGATGTATTGGTGATCATGTAAATTTTTTAGAACCTCAGAGCACATATTATGACCAGCTCACCTAAGCAAAGAGGTGGTAATCCTGTGTCATGGGATAAATCCCGCAAAGGTTTGAACACGTATCTTACAAATAGAATAAATAATATAGGAAAGATAGGAGAACTATACAATTAGATCATTTATCTCAATCTGTATTCCCCAGCACGCTTACTAGTCTCTGAGTTCATCATTTGGAGAAAAGCAGAATCTGTCTCGCCCCATGCACAAAGACAAGCATATTATTAAAACGTGTAGATGCATTGCAAATGCTTGACAGTTGTGGACGAAATGATAGCATTTAAGATTTATTTCCAGGATGTGGTACCAGATGCAAGAATGGAATATTACATTAAGGAACGGGTAGGCTTTTGGCCTTCCATTAGAAGAAATTATAGTATCTGATGGGTATTCACCAGTTACAGCAGTAACAATAGGGAACATTGATGGGAATGAACAAGTTGGATGATAGCAAGAATAGAGAAGGAAAGGAAATCAGAGTTCAGTAACACTCAACTGACCCTGAAACGTCAGATATAAAAAGGAAGTCACTCAAGACACTAGCAGAAGCGTTGCTGATATAAGTAACTGCGAAAGCAAAAAAGATAAGCACCTCAGCATAATGCCTCAACGGCGAATTTGATTCAACTATGGTATTGCCCAAAATTATCCAGCTAGTAAAGTGTTGTACCGTACTGATAATATCTCTGGGATTTGGGAAATAGTGCAAGGAATGATGGTTCAGAAGTAAAATCAAGTTTGCCAAATTTGACGTGCCATGATCGAATACCATTTTTGCTATCTGCTTCATGACAATCAAACAGCAAGAATGCTCAGGTATAGCCAGAAGACAACTTTCATGGCATAAAAATGTAGCTAATATAAAAAAGTAAAGGCATTATATTAGACCGCTAAGAATACCTCCAGTCATAAACAAGCTAAGTGATATAGGCATTTACAAGAGCTAATAACAGCCTTTCTTTGATTCAACTGTTATAATGTTGATTACACAATCAACAACAGTAAAGTGAGATGGCAGTTAAGCTGCTATTGGCGAGACAGAACAAGTTTCATTGCCCGTCAATATCGCCATGCCTCATATACAAAAGATTAAAACATAAAGAGGTTTGATGCAGCAGAAGATGCAGAAGCGGGCTCTATGTGCATTTAACTTCTCTATTTTTTCAGAAAAGCATTTAACTGTCTACCCATTCGTGTGCAGCTGTGTACTACATATATAAACTACTGGTGGTATTGATAATGATCATCAAGAATAAAGAGTCTTTTACTTGATTGTAAGGTCCAGAAAAGACTGCAAGAGTCATGTTCAGCTAAAAGAAACGATCAGGAGCATTCGATTGTTACCTAAAACAAAAGCTATCTATCGAAGACCAACTGCAGAAGTAATGGAAGTATGCATCTGTCAGAAGGTAATCTGTAATGTAGTCCACACTAGTACAATCTTACCAGAAGTGGTCATTGTATAACTTACCGATATGCAATGAAGAGAGTTGACAACTAAAGTCTTCAATCCCAGAAGACTCGGATGGCGTGGTGACCAGAAGGTAAATTATCAACCATTCAGAAACTAAGTCTTGGATCATTGGAACTAATTCAAGATGTATCCTGGATATATCAGCATGCAACATATTAATCTGCATCCAGAAGTGAAGGAAAAGTGACAGTGAACGTAAGTGGAAAGTGCAGCAACCCACTATGCAGAACCAAAATGATTTTCTTGCAGGAGAGGCAGAACAAGATTCATCACTCACTTAAAAATAATGAATCCTACCGGCCATCATATTATTTTTGCAGCTATAGAATGGATACAATACTAACTTGTCAGTAAACAAGCAAAGAATTCAAGTTCAACAAAGGCAAACCATAGATAAGTATGTACTTTCGTGATACAGAGTAAGCATTGATGATGAACCACATTCATGACACAGAAAACTCTAGTTTCCAATTATCACACTCCAGTAATAGCAAACTGAAGTAGGTTCAGACTTTCCAATTGAAAATACAGAACCATGTCCGAGTAGCTGGTTCTCATAATCTCACTTACTGTCCTTTTCTTAAACTCTCTGGTAGGTATACATAGAGGTAAACCAAGAAAATAATAACCAACCAGCTCATTCATAAAATAAAATAAAAGGATTGGAACACAGGCTGCAATAAGAGTACGAAGTATTGTCATGGCGGTTGGAAATCTTTTTTCATTCGTAGATGTCTACGGATATAATGATTTAGATTGAGATGGATCAGAGGGGGGAAATCATTGGAAAGTAACCCACAGAGGGACATAACACGATAGATCAAAATCTGACATAATGTAGAGCTTGGGCTTTCAGTTAACAAACTGTCCTGGTCGTATGAAAATGAGAAGCAAAGGGACACAAGATTTAGAGCAACAACATGGCCACCAATCCATGTATATATCGTTAGTATCTTTCACTCATTCCAAAGTTCTATTCTAAGACTCCATTTATGAATTTATCTTCGCACGATAAAGCAGAAGGGCAACTGGAATGATCAATAATCTTCACTTTCGGACAGACAGCATTCTTATTCAAGCATGGCCACAAATCCATGCCTTTTCACATAGAGTATAATCATTCCAAGTTCCCATCTAGGACTCTAGTAAGGGCATCTACTGAGCAAGGTTAGACCAGAAGGGCAACTGGAATGACTAAAGACAATTTCAATTGTAGGGACAACGGGACACAACTTTCGGACCAAGTTCATTTCTCAAACATGGCCACCAATCCATGTATTTTATTTCGTTGCTATTAGTCATTCCAAATTCCCTTCTAGGACTCCTGTAATTTTCACATTATAGGATACAGCAGAAGGGCAACTGGAGTGGATAGACCACTCCAAAGTTCTCATCCAGGACTTAAAAAAGGACATCTAATACCAGCATGGCTACAGATTTGTGGATCACTAGACTGCAATGGGGACACAAGGCAACCACAGAGTGCATGAAGCAACTTAATAGGTGTAAATATATGGAACAACCAGATGGCAACATAAATATTCGGACAAGCATTATCAGTCACTATAAACCATAAAAACAGTAGTATTAGAATACTTCAGTTAAATCTTCTCATTCACTTGAGACTGCAGCAAGTGAATCATCAAAGGCACAGCTCTAAGATTTTCCATCCGGCATAAGAAATTCAAGGCAACAGAGAAGGGACCTTAGGAATTATACCAGGGGAGACTTCTCCACCAAGCGACAAAACATAAACATGGATTCCTCACAAAGTCATACCCGCAAACGGACCGCACAGTCATGGCCCCGCACCCAAACCCTAACTGGGATTACTAATCTAACGGGAAAAACCTAACCATCAATTTTGCGACTGTAAGAACTCGAACAACAGCCAGTATATGCGAATTGCACCACCAATTAGTCACGTTCCCAACAACCTTAACAAACTCCCTTCATTGTTCACCCCACAATTTCGGTTCAGAAGAAGAAAGACATCCACACTCATGTATCTCAAACCGTAAGAATTAGGGCTTACAAAGCGACGAAACGGGTCTCAATAAAATTCGGAAGAGCATTTGCGTAGAAAAGCAAAGACGAAGAGGCAATAAGAACATGAAGATTCCCTCACCGATAAACCCCGACAAAAGCCTTACAATGCCGCTCTGAAATTTCTGCTGCAAACAGCAACGCTGATGGAGCGGAGACACAACCTCAGTCTCAGAGAGACACACCACAACTCTCACCACAACTCTCTACTCGCCGTTAGAAAAACAATCGCAGGGAGCAACTCGTCGCCGACCCCCTTTGCAAGATCTCATTTTGGGACGCGTCTCTGAACTGAGAAGGATCTCTACAACCAGGGAGAACAAATGCCTCGAGGAAAGAGTGTGCCTATGAATATATAGCAGTGGGAAACTATAACGTTGGGGAGTCGGTTATACTTACCGCCATACCCATGTAGCGTGAGTAATAAGTAATTTACACGTTGGATTGGACGCGTCTCATTGACCAAGTCAACCCGTGCGTGACACGCATAGCCGGGTAATGGGCCCTAGTTGGGCTTTTGCTTTTAATTTGGGTACACAAAATTGGGATTGTGTTTCCTTAAATTGGAAAGGATTGATTGTTTGAGCCAAAATAACAAATTTTTTATCAAAATAAAATTAACAAACAAATGTTAGTTAAGTCTCTTCAAGTCTCTTAAATATCACAAGCTCCCACTTTAATTTCCCATTCATATTTTATTTTCTCATATTTAAAGAATTGCAATCCGATTAACAAATTTTCTTTCATTAATAAAAGGAAACCATACACTATGGAAAATACTATT